CACACACACACACACACACACACAAAGACATGGACACATAATATACATGTATATACACCATAGATGTACACTATATAAAAGGAGATAACTTTATGATATACACTCATTTACTTTGATTACACACGCATTTACACGCACACTTATACACATGCGCACGCGTGTAAGCACAAGCACGCACACGCGCTCACGCTCGCGCACGCACACTCAGACTTACACACGTATTAAAACCCCCATACTCCTACTCTCACATAGCCTACTCAACGCAGTAATAGACCCCCCCCCCCTTTTTTTTCTTCCAACCCCCTAGTCACACACACACACACACACACACACACACACACACATACACACACACTCACGCGCGCACAGTCATCACTCAGATCGTGCAAATGTGAATTTATCATCTACCCAGATGACTGTTTTGCTGTAAATGGGCCCAAGTTAAAATGGAGGCCTTTAGGCCTAAGCCTAACCGGAGACCAAAAAAAGTACTAGATTTTAGATCGAGATCTAGTCATCTCCGGCCTCACTAAAGAAAACAGAATCTGTAAAAAAAAATGTGGCCAAAAAAAAAACTGTTTTAGATTTACGTTTTTTTATATCTTTTCCTTTCCTGTCTTTGCTTTTTATATGAACTCTCTTGCTTCTGAAGGATGATTTTGTTGTTTGTTGTTCAATAGAGACCTCTGTTGTTATATCTCATCATTGGGTTCTGTTATCATCAGTCATCAGTGATCAGTCGTTAGCTTGTACTTGCACTCTTACTGTAAGATTTTCCAGATAATCAAATAAGTGCCTTTTGGGTTTTCCTGAAAGAGTTGCACTGCAGAACTAATCATGTAAGTAAATATTATGAGTCTATCTATAGACTAGATCTAGAATCTAGATCTAGATCTATATCTAGATACCAGTGAAGAATCTTTGGTTAAAGGGAAGGGGCAACTGGATTAGATTAGTGTAGATCTTGAGACTCAAGGAAGGATTTATAGTGAAAATGGTGTGCTTCATGCCACTGTTTTTTGTTCGTCAAGGTTGGCCACTCTTTGCTCGCCTTTTTCATAAACCCACCCTGGGGTGATGTCAGTTGATTTCAGAGTAAAGGGAGACCATTTTACCGGTTGTGGGCCTTAACATGGGTCACTGTAGATTCTTCCTTTGGTGCGTTAGCTAAGATCCCATTCATCTAAGATTCCCTATTCTTGCTCCAGAGCACCGGGATCTTAGGCGGAGACTATATTGTAATAAAAATGTATGTATGCATATCGAGGGGCCATTACTCTTAGGTCGCTTCAATAAATCCTTTCTTCGTCACTTACCAAGGTAAGTTCTCGTCAACTGGGCAAGATAGTTGTTGGACACAAATTTATAAGTCTCCAGTGCAGAATGTCAATCAGCTGCAGCTTTTTAGAATAATGGAGTATGGATTCTTTAAATTCCTTCTTTGTTTAATTTTAATATATTTTTATGGATGAAATCTAAGCTGTTCCAGAGGACAAAATATTTGAGGCAATCATTGCATCATTACTCTTATAAATTTACTGTCCGCCCTCCTGGCTGTTGCGCTAGGCTCGCTGCTTCTTAATCAGTGGACCATTTGCCTTTTTCGGCTTCATTGTCATGATATAGATCTATATTATGATACCCTGGTCCCTTCTCCCGCTTCCTGTTTAAAATATGCCTTGTTATTTCCTAATATTGAAGTTATAAAAACAAATCAGTAAAACGGATGCTTTGAGGGGAGGGTTCAGGTTGCTGACGAGAAAACTTTTTTGTTTTTAGTTTTGTTATTCACTTGAGCGTATCTGTTGGGGGGAGGTTTGCAGTGAAGGGATGGGGACGGAGAAAATAAACTAGTCTAAGAACGTTAATTTGACATTGTATAATCTCCCACTTTTCTCATCCCTAACCCATGAGCTGTTCCTGCTAGTACAGTTTTTTAAAAGTTTTTTTTCATGCTAGATCTAAGTATATATGCCTAGTAGTTTTATAATCCTAGATAGCCAGGAATTAAAAACATGGAAAAGATTATCAGTATTTGTGATTCCTGTGAACATCTTACAAACATGTGTGTACTTATTATAGTACCAGTACCAGGGATTTCTAGCAAGAATAGTTTGTTGAGAGGAGGGTCAAGAATAAGCTACCCATTGTCCTAATGTCTACTTCTGAACTGTTCCTTTCCTGTACTATCGAGAATGTAAACCTGATATGGTTTGCCAAGGTCAGAGAGAGATTGCATGTTACATTTGTGTGTCTGTATGAGTGTATATTTGTTTGTGTATGTGAGTGCATACATTATGTGTGTGAGTGTATGACTGTATGTCATGTGTATATTTGTGTCATTTTATGTGTAAAGAACATTTCACCCAACCAACGATGGACTTATCACCATCATTGCTGTCATCCTATCTGAGATTTTATGATGTCATTCCACAGCTTGAATTTAGTAATTAATTCCACCTGTTGCTTTTTTTTCTCATGAAATAACACTTTATTAGTATTAGAGAAAAAAGTGAGTTATAGCTGGCAAAATGATGCGCTTGCTTTGCTGCTTACTATGGGGGATGCTAAAAGGTGGTACTCCATCCAATGAGTTAAAAAAATTATATATTCTTTTGCCTTATGGTGGGTTCCCACCGCAGAGCTATGGGTCTCTGCATCATAATATTACTTCAAATCAGGGCTCTCAAACTCAGACTGCCTGTGCACCGCTGGGGATAGGAGTCTGTGTGAGAGTGGACAGGTCAAATATTCTACAAAGAAAAAAGTTTCAACCTAAAAAGGCAAAAAAAGTAGAACCTATCGAATCTTCTTGATCTTTATTATAAATATAGTAGTTTAGAAATTGAACTGTTCTTCACAACTGGAAGCTGTCATGAGCCTGAGCTTTGCAGCTCATGAGCGATTTTTAAAAAAAGATTAAACTCCTGGGGCAACACCTCAATAAAAAAGGGGAATGTGTGTGAAAAACGTGTAGGTCGCACTAACTCTGAACTTGTCAAGTAAGAGCAGCAAAGTGTCATCCTGGGGATGCCTATTTGCCGGTCGGTCGCGAGTTTGAGATACCTGTTTTAAAGCATGTGAAGTATCCCTCTGTTTGTCTGATTAACTTGGACTTCCACTAGTTTCATTTATAAATTTGTTTCCTACAGTCTTGTGTGTCTGTTGTGCTGGATGCTGCTGTAGTAGTGGGCAGTACGTGTAGTAGGAGGGTGCCACCTGTAGGTCTCACATGCTTTCATTTCATTGGTTATTTATAATTGTCTGTCTTGTTTTTTCCCTGCACTGAAAGACAGTAATTTTGATGCTGATGTTAGATTCTCTTTACAATGAAGCTTTCTGCCGTCCCATAAAAAGTGAATCATATTTGAATATTCTGTTATTGATATAGGGAAAATTGTCCTAGGTCATGCTGGTGTTTAAAAAAGATTTTATTTGTTATTCAAAGGCTGAAAATGGCTAGACATTACAGCCAGGTGCTGATGAAACCTCATGCTCTTCCTTCAGCTCACGGACGTTGTGATATATAATATATATATACATGTATATATATATAATATATATATATATATATATATATATATACATATATATATTATAGAATGATTATAATCTCTTGCTTGTAGAAGATGTAAGTTTGTAAAATTGTAATTGTGGAAGTCTTAAGTTTTACAACCCCACTGACACTATTTTAGATTATTTAGGAGGTGGGCTGCTTTGAGGTGTGATGTCTGTAGAACTGTTTAGATAGTCGACGGTGGGTGGTTGGCAGGTACTCTGGTGTGGTTTGCTTCTTTTTTCCTATCAAACATCTATCGTCTTTATCTCCCCTCCTTCTTTTTTATGTTTGTTACTCTCTTGTAACACTTCTAATCTTTTGGCGCTCATATGACCTTATGCAGTTGCGAGCGCCGTAAAACCTCTACTAAAACAAACAAAGATAGTCAACATTGTCAGGGAGAAAAGTGGTTGCCTTTAACCAGTGTCATAGGAAAAACACAATGGAGGAAGAGGGAAGTGGTCGTTTTGTACAGATGATGAATGTTCTTCTTGGACAGGTGGCCGTGAGTGCAGGTTGGACTGTATTATAATTATCATGCATTCGGTTTTTTTCCCAATCGCAACACGCATATAAAGCGAGTGATGCTTGCTGTGGTGCAAGAAGATGAAGGGAACACCTATATGAAAGCCGCGTTCTTTCATGTTTGTCTCACTTGTGAATGAACCTGGGTCGAAAGGAGTGTGTCTTGACGGATAACATTTTATTAGGCCTATAATATCTCTCTGCGGTGATTGTTCTGCCCGTGAAGTGCGGGTGTCACCACAGACGTGGGAAAGTGACAGAGTGCGCCCTGCCTGTCTATACATGATAGTTAAAGAAATTGGTTGATTGAAAGTGTTTTGTTTTATGTAGCAAATTCTGTCTATGATGCTATTGTTATTACTGCTGCTGTGGTGTTTTAAACTTGCAGGCTATTCTGTCTGTTTGTCTGTCTGTCTGTCTGTCTGTCTGTCTGTCTGTCTGTCTGTCTGTCTGTCTGTCTGTCTGTCTGTTTTACATTTTTAAGGGCTGCATTAAATGACTTTTATTAATATGGTGTCGATATGCTCATCTTTTCTCACACGAACTGCTGTTATCGTCTCAAAAGGTTTATGCTCGTCGCTTTTTCTATTCTTTTCCTAGTTCTGAGGAAGAGTGTCTCCCAACTTCGTTGGATGTAATGTTCATTTTCTGTAGATTTATTACTACTTCATAACATACTACTACGCCATGTTATGTCTGTCGTATAGATGGCATCGTCGTCCTGTGTTTCGAGGAAGATAGGAATATGTTGGGCTTTGGATTTGTAGGCCTATAGCCTTTTCTTCTTGAGGAGTACTACCATTAAATTTTTTGCTGTGAATGTAATACTCTCTCTCTCTCTCTCCCTC